GGTTCTGCTTTTAATTGGCATTCATATTGCTTATGAATGCCAACTGAAAGCAGTTCTAAATACTTAAATTGTTGCGATTTTGGATTTTGTTTCTCTCGTAGAAAATTCAATTAAACTTTTTTGCGATTGAAAGTGTTGTGGTACCTCCATTTCAAGTAATTATATGGTTTATTTGACACCCTGTTTTTTTTATAAGAGAAGCGTAAGAATTCATGGAATAATTTATGTTTAGCATTGAGTCATGCATCAAATAATATTACTCTAGCAGAAATTGACTGGGTTGATGGCTTGCGACCAGATAGCTTAGTGGGTAGAGCGCCTGTCTAGAGTTTGGAGGGTCCTTGGTTCAAATCAAGGTCTGGCAGTTGCATTTCTCTTTCTCCTGTTACAGAACTGGTTAGCTTGCCAACCCTTGTTTCAAGTACTGGGCGAATATAATGCTTGGCAAGGGGGGATACCAAAACCTGTGTTGTAAATAGTATTGTCTTGGGGACAAAAGCTTAACAAAATTAGAAAGGAATGTAGCCGAACTGGACTGAGCTGATTAATATTGCTGGCAACCAGGTAGCTCATTTGGTAGAATGTCTGTTTAGAGTTCGGAGGTCTCGGGTTCAAATCCAAGTCTTGGCATTGCAATTCTCTTTTTCCTATTATATTACAATATCATAGTTCTGTATAATTCCATTTGTGGGGTTTTGATGGTACTTCAGTAAATATAATAGTAGGAAAACATTATTTTTGAACTGACCAAATATTTTGTTTTCACTATGAAAAGTCAACAAATGTATAATGTACAAAAATACTCATTCATGCATATATATAAAGTTTAAAAAATGTAATATTAAAGATAAAAATGTTAGAAGTACTACTGATGAGTACACTTCATGAATTACTACTGATCATGATGTGTATTAAGTACTATAATGTGTTTTGTGAAGTACTGTGAAGTACTATGAAGTCAGTGTGGCTGTTAGGGAGCAGAAGTATAGAACTCGGTAGGTTAGGCTTACTGTCTGCTCCCACTGATAGACACTGGGGCCACCAGCAAGTTCTACTTTAATCACTGGAAGGGACTGTACCACAGGCATAGGTCTGGGGTGAGCAACACCTCCAACTCAAAGATACCACTTCAGTAAGAGGTGGTAGCTGGAGTAGGAAAAAACGCTTGAAAACCTTTGTATTAATTGTACATATGATGTGTCCAACTTTCATACTTTTAGATTGATGCTATCAGACTTGAATAGCAACCTATGATTATAGAAGATGCACTTGTGTCATAAAAGACGCCAATAACAAATTAAGATAAAATAATAAAAGATATGTCAACCAAAGCCAAAGGTGTTATCAGTTGTAACAGATACCAAAAAGACTGTGTCACAACCATGCAAATTATATTAGATGTCGCCCAGAATTATACCGACACCCTTACTACAATAAATGTGAACCACGTACAGTATATTAGTAAAAATGTAATTCATGTCATACAAATTATGTTAGTTGCCACTAAAAGTGTATATATGCTACCCTATTACAAATATTTTTTTCAAACTTTAATAGATGCCACCTGATGTATACTAAATATGACTCGACCCATAACAGATGCCACCAAATGCCCAAAGTGTTCATTACATATATGCAGCCTGAATTATAATAGTGACCATACCAACTTAAACACAAGATGGGATTCATCTTACGCCAAAACCAATCTATGCTCCCGAAAATACCAACTTGAAGATACCATGTGTCATACTGATAATGGGAGCCAACACATTATCTCCAACTCGAAAAAGGTTGGTGGTCTTGCTACAGGACAAACAATTAGCATTTGTTGGCATGTCTACTTAACTGCAATAGATATGGGTGGGCTTATTACCAGGCAGGGGCTTATTACCAGACATGGGCTCATTACCAGGCATGGGCTTATTACCAGGCATGGGCTTATTACCAGGCATGGGCTCATTACCAGGCATGGGCTCATTACCAGACATGGGCTCATTACCAGGCATGGGCTCATTACCAGGCATGGGCTCATTATCAGGCACGGGCTCATTACCAGGCATGGGCTTATTACCAGACATGGGCTATGCCTGGGCTTATTTCCAGGCATGGGCTTATTGCTGAAAAGGTACCATAACTTATTTCGTAGCAAATGCACTGTGAGCTAGTGCCATCACATACTTTATAGATAAGGTGGTTGGTACACATTAGGACTTAGATAAAGTGACTAAAATGTAAAGTGGTTATTTTCAGACATGCCCTTCATCTTTTACTTTCATTTATTTTGAAGAGAAAACTTCCTGGGAGTTCTGATTTTCAATATTTCATTGGAGTTTATATATACATATATGATCCATTCATCAAACATTTCTATGTTGCATCATGGGAGAAATAGAAAGACCCATAAAGCACAAGATTTTCATACCGAAAAAGCTGATGCAAGTTCATGATGATCAGACCACTGACTTCCGGCCCGATCCTCAATTAATATTCTTGGGGGATAATAAATCTTCAACTGCTTATATGAAATTTAGCTGTATCAACCACAAGGACAGTGTTCTTGTGTTAGAGCTATTAAAAGATGCGCTGAAGCAGGATTTGTTAATTTTGTTGATAATGTTGTGACAGCTGACCAACCATTTTATTGTCACTTTAAAACTATTCTACACATTAGATACAAGAAGTGAGAGGAGGATCATTTCCTTATGGGTTCTTGTACCAAAAAATACTAAATATTGGAGAGTTTTAACCAGCATAGCAACAGCTTTCATTAATCATTACTTAAAAGACACCTGTACCATCAAAACTTCTCGAAAAATGAATAATGATGAAATGAAAAATAACAGCAGTGTTCTGAGAGTAACAACACAATGGGACCAGACCAGAATTCAAACCCTGCATTGCCGATCACAATAGTATTACTCTAACCATAGCCAAAATAAAGGGGAGTTAACTATGTATGAACAAGAGACCCAATGGACCTGCATTACTCACCTGGTGTTAATCTCATACTTTTAACATTAAAAGTAATCTAAAATAAAGCTACAGGCAAAATATCAGTATTTATGACTATAAGTCATTCAAAAGAACCTGTTTAAAGATTTTAAAACATCTGACCCCTGTGACCTTGAAAGTCGAACAAGGTCGTTACATTGAACAAACTTACTTGATAGCCCCTCATCCAAGCATGCTACTAGCCAAATATCAACATTCTGGGCCTCATGGTTATTCAGAAGAGGTTTTTTAAAGATTTAAAACAAATTTGACTCCTGTGACCTTGAATATAAGCCCAGTTCATTCATTTGAACAAATTTGGTAGCCCTTTATCCCAGCATGTTACAGGCTAAATATCATCATCCTGGACCATTTGGTTATTTAGAAGAAGTCTTTTAAAGATTTTAAACATATTTGACCCATGTGACCTTGAATATAGGTCAAGGTCATTCATTTGAACAAACTTGGTAGCCCTTTATCCAAGCATGCTACTTGTCAAATATCATCACCCTGGGCATTTTGGTTATTCAGAGGAAGTTATTTAAAGTTTTTAACATATTTGACCTCTGTGACCTAGAATACCGGTGAAGGTCATTAATTTGAACAAACTTGGTAGCCCTTCAAGCCAGTTTGTGTCTGGCCAAATATCATCACCCTAAGCCTTTTGGTTATTAAGAAGTAGTTGTTTAAAATAAAATCTTGACGCTGGACGGATGGACGACGGACGCAGTGGCATGGCATAGGCTCGATCACTAGGACCCGAGCTAGAAACTACAGTGGAAATCTCAAGTGTTTTGTAAACAGTGGGACAGTGAGGATCCTTGAATACATTACTGAGAGGAATGTGATCCCTACTCGTGTAAAATTGTTCTTTTGTTTGGAGCTGCCTCAGTGGTCAATGTCTTACTGAAGGGAGATAGCTTTTCTTTGCCACCTGTTGTGGACTGCAGATATGCTCCCTTAAATAACAGATCTGGCCCTTTATAAGTCCAGATGAAATAGATCAGTCTTGCTTAGGAACATCATAGCATGAATCTGATTGGTCAATTTTTTTTTACTATCACCCGTGTGTAATAAGTGGAAACTTGGGAGTTGAAATAGAGTGAAGTGTATAGTGTACTTGTTTTCATATGTATGAATGGGCATATTACTACAGTATAGTAGTAACACAAGTGTGGATTAAGTGTGTACCATATTGAAAGTAATCATGAATGAAGACCGGGAAAAAAAATGGATTGTAATTTTTTAATCAACTTGTGCAAATCAAATAATTACAGTAAATATTTGGGAAGACAAAAAAATCAAAGGTCTAATTGGACTCTCTGATGATGAACTAGAAACAGTGGTTCTGAATTTAATGAATACCTCTGGATGGTTGTGTTTATGTGTGCAGTGACATTATTGACTAGCATTTATGAACTTTTGAACTTCTTACAACAACGGACAGATTTTATTATATAGGTATATGATGCCCTGGACAATCTTCTATTTAAAGAAAAAAATTATGATAACTCTTTAACTTTTTTGATCCTTTTACTTTTTATTTTAAAAAGCATTTTCTAATAATTTTCTCATTTTTTGTTTCTGTGATTATTTTTACCATTGAGCACACGCCTTGTGCATTTAGATATTTTTGATGGCTATTAAACATCAGAACATAACCTTGTTGATAATATTAAATTTCGCACAGAAGATATGATTTATTTATCAAAACGCTGAAAAAAGGTTGGCTTGGCAGGTTGCAGAATTAAATTTGTGAAATCATTTTTGCGAGTGACAATTGTATTTTATTACAATAATAACCGATCGCCTTTGAGACCTGCACTTGAGAATTTCACCTGATGCTGATTTAGGTACAGATAACGTCAGCACGACTCGCCAAGGATTTTTCTTGTTTACATTTACACGTGGAAGCTGACTTTTTCCTGAATTTTCACGGCTGTTCGGGGTTTCATTTCAAAGCATGTCAACAGAAATAAGTGTCTCTTCCTTGGATTTGATGACAGAACTTCCCGGAATAGTGTGATTGTGACCCATTTTTTCCATTTTTTTTTTTACCTGCGGAACTTTATTACAATATGTGGGAACTAGATAGAGTGTTGGCAGCATTGCTATGCATGGTAAGTATGACTACCTGTGTGTTGGTGTGTGTGTACACTGTAGCATGGAGAAAACTTGCACTACCAGCAGTTCACTTGAGTGTTTAGCATGTGTAGTCATTGAGATGGCTCAGCAATTTTCATCATTCTGTTAAAAGGTGTATAATTCATATCACTGCTGATATATATCACCGTAAACCTTCTACAATTACGCACTTAATCACATCTACAATGTATACAGGTGTGATTTAAGCTGTGATCGTAAGTTTCTTCTGGCTGGTCAGATCTGAGTTTAGGGTCAGCCTCTGAAATATACAGGTGTGACTTTACCTATGATGGTTATATCTGGAGGAGCTGAGAGTCAGCCTCCCAAATATACAGGTATGACTTTACCTGTGTTGGTCAGTTTCTTCTGACTGGTTAGTAATTGAGGAACTGAGGGTCAGCCTCCCTAAAAAGTGTTAATTATACACTTATATCATAATAGAGGTGTTAGTTTACCTATGATAGTCATATATTTCTAGGTGGTCAGCTCTGGACAGTTCAGGGCTAGCCTCCTTAAATAAGTACTCTTATCTCTATTATGTGCTTAGATATTTGCAGATATATTTTTGTAATTCCATCTAGATGTAGGTGTTTGAGGTTGGGGTAGGGGGCTGTGGGGACTGAATATCATGTCGAAGAGACAATACTCAAAATGTGGGTATTGGGTGCATCAAATTTGAGGCTTGATGCAAAACGATATCTGGGGGTATGTTTTTGGGAGGGGTTTGGGCAGGGTGATGTCCTTGGTGAGGGGAGGGGTTACACAGTATCTATGTTAATGTACATGAAATGATTGTTCTACGGGTGTGAGGATGGGGTACATGATATCTAGGAAGGGTACATGAAATATGTTCTGTTGAGGGGGTATAAGGCTACATGAGTACCTGTGACAAAGACACTGGGTATCCTTAGGACTATGGTGACCTACAGGTGTTACTAAATATAATAAGGGGTTTTCTGGGGGGTGGGGGGATGGGGGGGATTGAGGGTCAGTCTGGGGGTGGGATGGTACAGGATGGCGATGAATCATAGGGCTGGGAATAAGATCTTTGGGATATAGGTGAAAAAGGGTGTGGATAATATATCGGGATAGAAATCAGATCTAGGGGTGGGGATCTGGATGAGTCTGAGTCTATGAATGGGTATGATATTTAGGTGAGGGGCTGAATTCTGGGAGTTTAGTTGAGTCTGGGAATTTAGTTGAGTCTGGGAGTGCAGGTGAGTCTGAGGATGGGGGTGAGTGTTGGGGATAGGGGGGTGAGTGGAGGTTGGGGTAAGATCTGGAGGTAGGGGTAAAGTCTGGGGGGTATAGGGATGAGATGGGATTTTGTGTTAAGACAGATGTAGGCGGTGCAGTATGTTAGGATACAATGTAGCTGTCTGTAATGTTCCACTTACATGTGGAGGGGATTATTACCTCAGACGTTTGTTTCATGTGTGTAAGGATTACAGAGAAATCATGTCTGCTGTCTGGTCTCCGGATAGGTATCATCTCTACATTCTCAGGGAAGCTAGCCACTGAAAGTGCACTCTCTATGGGTATACAGTGTAGGCGAAGAAATGAGCTTGTACAAATTAACGGCAGGAATTTACAGGTCGTGGGTGAAAAAGATTTTTTATCATGTGATGATGTACTTGATAAACCAATCAGTTGGTTAATTAAGACTTCATCCTAAAAGTGATGGTTTGTCAAAAATCTTGAAAATTCAAGAATTTCCAAACAGGTAATAATTTGTTGCAGACATCAATAAAATGGTACATCTTTAGTGTTTGAAACTTGAAGAGTTTCCTGGAGAGGCAACACATTTGTAATTTATAATCCCTTTTTTAAAACCATGCATTGTCCTGGCAATGGCTTAGTTCTCACAAATATAATGTTTAAGGGTGTATGCTACCTTACAGTAGGGAGTGGTTTCCCTTTAGTATTTTGATATGAACATTAATGCATATATATTCTTGAGTTATTCTTTAAAAGCAGTCATCGATAAATTGTAATGAACACTGTTGCCCAATTATTCCATAATCACTCTTTTGGCAATATTATATATCTTAAAACTGAACTGAGAATCTTTCAAATTTATCGTTTGATAATTAAGAAAATACTAAAAACCATTGGTGAAAAATTTCTTGCTGTAAAACTCATCTGGTGAGGAGTTCATTTAATCACAATAAGGTAGCTTATACCCTTAAGTGGCAGGGAGACTCCCAGAGTTCACTTGTACAGGTACTGGTGTCTGTGGCAGACATCTGTTTGTTATAGTATTGGAGACTTGCTGAATTAGAGATAGCCTTGGTAACAATTAAGAACTTGTCTGGGGGTCTGCCCTGCTTTGATGCCTTAATGCTGTAGCTGTGGACAGGCTGGGGTTACGGACATTAAATAGCATTTTGACAAGGTGAGATATGACATGGAAGTTTATGAATGTCAAGGTGACCCAGATGTCATGACCTTGCATTTGAGGTCTTGTATATTAATAGTTTGGCACAGATATCAGTTCTAAAGTGTATTTCTGTGTTTGTTTCACAGGTATCTCGTCAAAAAATTATGGAAATTGTTTTCAAGTTCAGTCTTGGTCAGCATTTCTTAAGATGTGTGTATAAAAATAGCCAAGATTTCCCAGGTTTTGTACGTCTTGAAAACCATTTAATGTCATATTTATAGGAACTGCAAGAACAACAAGTAGATTGACTTTTAGACTTCCTGGATACTCTGTAAAACTGATGTACAAAGTAAAGTGGTTTTATGCTGGGACTGAAACAGTCGGGGCCAGATAGGTTTTATACTGGGTCTGAAACAGTCGGGGCCAGATAGGTTTTATACTCGGTCTGAAACAGTCAGGACCAGATAGGTTTTATGCTGGGTCTGAAACAGTCCGGGCCAGATAGGTTTTGTACTGGGTCTGAAACAGTCCGGGCCAGATAGGTTTTATACTGGGTCTGAAACAGTCCGGGCCAGATAGGTTATAGTCTACAAGTTGTATGTTATTCTGAAGTTGAAATTCTTAGCTATTTTGTGTCAATATTTGAAAGGGTAGCCATGACCAACCATTGTGCTACAAATACCTAGGTACTACCTAACAAGGGTCTACCCATACCTGTACTTAGATCAGATATCAGATCGGGACAGTGGATCAACCTTCTTTAACCAATTCCATTGGTCAGTCTTGATCACTTGATCACTTTGGTATAGCATTTGGAGGTTCAGAGTTTGAATCCTGATTTGGCAAATGTATTTTTCATGATCCTAGTGACTCCTTCAGTTCAGATCTGCATATATACTGTGTCTGTATGGTACTGTACATCACGTGCCCAGAGACTCTTACTTGGTAGTGAAGTGAACACAATTACTTACATATAAACACCCTTTTGATTCAGCATGTAGCCCATTTATTTACACATTGTTTCGGTACCAATGATTTCTGTACATACGTTTGTGATTTTTATTTCGGGCACATGAAGATTTGTGTTGGTTGTGTTATCATTGTGGTTATATATGTACATAGAATGTTATTATTGTTTGCTGAAATGTTTCGGAGAGCTGACAGATTTATAATGTGGCGTTGCAAACAATGGTATGTCCTGCCTACAATATATAATTATATACCAGTCCTCCATCCTCAGCCACTGTAACAGGGCAGTCTTACTACTGGTCATAAGCTGTCCTGTACAAATCATTCATGATAATTTAAAATCGGTGAATTGTTTTACCTTGTTTAACAGCAAATTATAGGGTGTTTCTCCGTAGCAGAAAAGTGCTGAAGTTTCCCAAAGTGAGCATAAAATGAGGAATATCTGGTTTTCCCACTTCATGTAACAACAGGCTGCCTTAACATTTGAAAAAAACCCACTGAAACTTATATCATTTAGACCTGTAAATGTTGACTGAATATCTAATCCTTATTTTTTTAAATTTTTTTTTTAATAAAAATCGTAGAATTATGGTAACAGCATATGTAAGATATCTGGGGCTGATGTCATTTGGCTCTTATTGAGGATTGCATACTAAGTACGTACATTAAAAGTTGATTTTCTCTTCCGTAGCTTCAGACATAAAGACCCTGTATTTACACGCGTCTTACACTTCACGCTGTGTCATCAAAGAATCGTTGGACCCTGAATGAATGTCAATAGTCGTGTACCCTATGGCCTGTGTGATAGGCTGTATATGGCTGGAGAATGTCTGTTTTACTACAGTGTGTATAGGGAGCATAAGGTGATAATGTATTATTGTAAGCTTGTGCTGATTTGGGATGTTGGTATAGAGAGGGTATAGGGAGACCTCCCAAAATGGTCACCTCCCAAAAGGACCAACTTTATAATAAAAATACATTTCTAAGTATAAGGACCCTTTGTATGAAACACACAAGATTATCATGCATAAATTGCAAGGGGTTGCTTAATTGAATGGTGGTTATATTAACCACAGGCAGGTTTTATGCTATAGTTTACCTGTATAGAGAGACCTTCCAAAAAGGTCACCTCTTTAATAAGACCACATATTTTGGAACACAGGGTGGTCAGATGTTGATCAGCTTGAATGGTGGTCTCCGTATAGAGGTTTATAGTTTACCTGTATAGAGAGACCTCCTGAAAGGATCAACAGACTGTACAGGTAAAACATCTAAAGACATTGTCCCTTCTTGTCAGACCACTACAGTAAATCTTGTATAGAGAGACCATCCTTAGGTCTAGAGCCTCTGATAGTGTTTTAATACTAATGTTTTGGTAGGCACCAGGTTGGACTCCAATCATTGGGGCAAGCAACTCTAGATGGGAGTTACGGTAGTGGTAAGGAAGTACTCTAGATGGGAATTATGGTAGTGGTAAGGAAGTACTCTAGATGGGAATTATGGTAGTGGGAAGGAAGTACTTGAGATGGGAATTACGGTAGTGGTAAGGAAGTACTCTAGATGGGAATTACGGTAGTGGTAAGGAAGTGGTCCCTCTAGACAGGGTTTTTCTATGATCTCTGTGGA